TCACTAGGTTCCCTACAACTTATTTGATTACAAAATGCCTTTTCCCCCCTGGTTTATAATATGTATTAGCATATCTCGAGGTAGATTTTTATAGAAAAACACTACTTGATATGTACACAGGTTATAAGGTGTGATATTTTTTTTGACAGATGCAGTCTAGTAATTCATGGAGAGAAACCTAGCCCATGAGACTTTCTTTTAAATAAAATATTTTATTATAATGATCTTGGGTCAAGTGATCAAAGTAGCTTTGGGTTTGGTCCTTAATTTAATAGTAGATAATACTTTAAGATACATAAGCAGGTAACACTTAATTAACTATCAACTACAATTCATTACTATTGAGTTAATTATGGCTCATTTACATCCTATGTAGGATTTTAAAGGCAATTGCCTCATCTTTCTCCCACAGAGCATGTGGTGAATTTGAACTTCTGACCTTGTGGTTAGCTACCAGGGCTCTGTTTTCAGTTTAAGAAATGAACAGTATAACTGGTAATTATTCAGACATACCCCTCTCATAATTGAATATTATACATGGTTTGATATAAATGTTTATGTGTGTGTGTATTGACCAAGGGCCTCTCGTAGCACTGTGGACTGGGCCTTGGGTTACTAATAGCAAGGTTGGAAGTTTAAACCTAACAACTGCTTTGTCTAAGAAAGAGGAGGCCATCTGCTGCAGTTAACACATGGTCTCAGAAACCCTAGATAGGGTTACCATGAGCAGGAATTGACTTGATGGCTGTGGGCTATGTATTAGCTCGGTCACAGCTAGAACAAATTGTTAAACATGCAATGGCTCGTAGTTTTGTACCATCCATATGAGCATTGGAGGTAAGGCTGTAAGGGGACTTTCTCTTGAAATGGAAAACACTGGCGAACCCTGTGGAACAGAACAGTTCGACTCTACACAAGGGGTGGCCACGAGTCAGAATGAACTTGGCAGCCACTGGCAAGAACATGCGTTAGCTAGGCGATATGATTTATGTTCATTAACAAAGAGTTAAACATTTATCATTTTGTTTTGCTAGATTCCTAAAATAATAAAAAAGATAATTAAGTCTTTACGTGTGACTATCATTTCTGAAATTCATCTTTTAAACATAATTCAGTTAAGTGTGTCTTCTTTCCATCTTCCTTTAAGTATACTGGGAAATAAAATTGTCTCTGAAGGATATACCACTTTGCATTTTGAAATCTGATTTCATAGCCAAAGTAATCAGAACATCATTCAATTCAAACAAAAGAATTAAATCTAGAAAATATGCCACATTTGCATGAAGTGTCTAGTTCCAAAATACCTCCTACACAAATTTGAATTGAATATGGACACTGCTTCTCTAGCATTACTAAAAGACCAAAATAATATTCTGCCTATCAATGATAAAAACTAAGCATTACAGATTTTTAGAGAGCATCTTTGATTTAAATATGTTGTGCATTTTTATTCTAAAGTATCAGTATAAAAGGACCTTAATATTTCTTAATGGATTATAGCCATAATTCACCTGGGCCCTTAATAAAAGTGAGCCCCATTTATGCAGAGAACAGATGCCAGGGAACATGATGAGGCAACTACCTTTAAGTCAGCGACCTCTTTCTGCTTTTAATTTTTCTTTCAGCTGTTGGCTGAAGGGATAATTATCCCCCAGAGTGCTCTGTGGTTGTTGTCCTGGAAGTTGTGTGATGCCATTTTAAAAGCAGTGTCAGAATTACAGTGGGAAGCAGAATGAGCTACATTTGCACTTTGTGTGGCTGCTGGCTTTTCAAACTGTGCTTTCTCAGAACTTGGGTGCCTTGAGGCAGGATTGGCAATTTAGCTACAGTGGGACAATTGGAGTATGCGTAGAGAAGCTTGCCTCCTTCCCCTAGGGCCTTTCATGCTGCTAGCCTGTAGTGTAGCCAGACCAAGTTAAGCAATGGAGAGGCTGTCATTTTACATTACTTTTTAACCTTTGGATTAAGCAACTAAAATGTTTCACTAAGAAATAATAGTAGATATTATATACAGAATTGAAATGATCCAAGAATTGCCTAAAATACCTCAAGTGCTCATGAGGTAGAAATAGAACAGATGGTAGTTGCCAACCAGTGGATCCCAACTCCAGGAGTCTGAGTCAAGCTGTGCTCCCCCTGGTGTTCAATGGCGGCAGCCTTTTGGAGATACATCACTGAGCCAACAGCCTCAGGGATAACAGCCATGTGGTTAACCATTGACACCCTCCTGAGCTCCAAAAGTATATGACTCAACGATACAATGGTATAGCTACTGGAACATAGGGCAACATGGGCAAATCTCAAATGAATTATATTGAGTGGGGCAAAAACAGGCACACAAAAGACAGTGGTGTCTTGTACAACTCTGTTGCTATGAAACTCTAGAGAAGGCGAATAGAGAGGGGCAGCAGATCCGCAGTCCCAGGTTTGAAGACAGAATGCAGAAATTGATTGCAGAGGGTCGGGAGAGAATTATTGGGGGAATGAAAGTGTTCTGAATGATAACTTCTGAAAAAAGAGGAGGCTGTCTACTCCAATAGAGCTTTACAGTCTCAGAAACCTCCCAAGGGATTTAGTTCTCCCGTGTTCATGAGTCGGGATAGACCCGATGGCAGTGAGTTAGAGATGATAACTCAGATGATGATGCCATTTTTATCTCACCAAAGAGGATTCTTAAAATTACATCTGCATGTAAAATGTTATTGGATATAAATTATACCTCTAAAAATAATTTCAAAGGAAGTATGGTGTATGTCACCAGGAAGGCGAAGAGAATTCTAGAATTAATATCTACAAATGACCTGAAAATTTGGGGAGACAGACTGATTTGTCATCCAGAATCTGGGCAAGAATTACCATGAGATAAAACACTTAAAGGGATAGTAGAAAATTCAAATGGATATACCCAGGAGTTCTTCATGGCCCATGAAACTTACACCTGTCAATCATCTACAACGGAATCAGCACTGAATACATGTGGAGTATTATGATTTTTACTATTGTTTTTGTTATTATTTAGAGCAGTATTCAAGGTCCCAAGAATATACAACAGCAACAACATCCTCATACCCATTGCAGTATTGCAGTGGCGTTGACTCTGAGGGTTGGTGACCTTCTAGGACAGAATTGCCTCATAGAATTTCCAAGGCTTTGATCTTTAGAGCAGGAGAAGGCCATCTCTTTCTCCCATTGAGTGGCTCATGAATTCAAACTACCAACCTTTTGGCTAAGAGCAGAGCTTTTGAATCGCTGTGCTACTAGGGGCGCCTTAACAATGCAGGCAATCGAAGTTAGGTAAACCGAGACGTCAAAGCATTTTCCAACCTGGCAATAGAGAGAACTTCTAAATTACCTTGTTCTAATGATTTGAAATATGAATTGTAGGTAGAATTAGGCATTTACTATTTTAGGAGAATTAATAAATTATAATATGTTATCAAAGTTGAATATTAGACACAATCCTAACTTTCTGGTGAGCCAAAGATCACGTCTGAGCTATTGCAACTCACTGTGCTGGCTGTCCCTGAACTTTATAGCTAATAGCTAAAGTTTTAGGTATGAAGAAACATGGCTCTACCTGGTATGAAATGAAGTCCTTTGGAAATGCTATGATGCTCTGATCATGTGAAAAATGTGTGGTGTGCAGGAATGTCCCGCTGTCGGAGTAGGAGATGCTAGTGACCGCTGATCATCACTTGGGTTGCAGTAGAGATCAATGAACCACCGGCATTTATGGGCTTCTTAGTGTACCCGGCACTCCCTGTGCTAAAGAACTTTCATGAATTGTCTCTTTGAAATCTCATCATCACTTTAGGGGTTAGACACCAACGAGCAAAGATGGTGCACATGAAGTCGGAGCTTGGAAATATGATCTGATATTAAGAGTTGAGAACCACTGAAATGGACTGAAGCTTGGTGAGGACACGTTTGGCTTTACTGGGCTGGATTTCAACACCATGTTCAGCCATTGCTTCACCATTCCTTTCAGTGAGACTGGGAGAGAGTATAGACCTCTGAGATGGACTCAGAACCCCACGTAAAATGCCCGTAGGCTAGCAGTGTATGTTAGATGGTCAGGAAATGGCTACTTAACTTAATTGCTTGACTGTTCTGTTTACCTAAGCCCTTGGAAAACAGAATTTAGATACTGTATTCTCAGGATACCAGCTATAGCAGGAGGCTAATATTTGAAAATGGGGTGGTATTTATTTTAATAGCTCTTCCACAGACCACATGGATTGTGAGGTCCTTTAGGTGGCAATGATGGAGACTCACTCCCTGTTAAGGTTGCTGGCATTAGCAATAATGGGAGTTTTGATAATAACTTTAATTATACCGAAGGTTTAGCAAACTGAGACAATTGCTGATCTTAAATGAGAAAAATGGTTAGTATGCAGATTCTAATGGGTCCATTTATCATATCCTTATCGTACTGAGCTTTGGGTTCATTGTTCTCTATTTTCTAAGAAAGTACAAATGCTGTTTCTCAGAATAAAAATGGTCATTATGTAAGTAGTAGATTGAAGCTGTACAGATTGGGTCTCTAATGAAATAGGCAACAGTCTAATGGAACTGACAAGCTTTCTGTCTATTGGTTGTGAGTTGTTTTTGGTTTTTTCCCCTTATTACAGATGGACCCGATTCAGAAAGCTGTAATCAATCATACATTCGGAGTTCCCCTTCCTCATCGAAGAAAGCAAATCATATCATGCAACATTTGCCAGTTGAGATTTAATTCCGATGTAAGTTTATCATTTCGTATTCACTTTTAAGAAAATGTATTATGCTGTCCTAATCTTGCAGGAGAAATGATTTCTTAAACATTTTTTCCAATAACTGAGCATGCCAAATTCAAAGATAAAATTTTAACTCCTCTGTGCTTTCATTTTGAACATTTTTATTCAAGCCTACTATGAGAAAAATACTTTTACAATCTTACACACTGAGAATTAAATGATGCTTTTTAATCTCCTGGAAATACTACATTTAAGTAATACATTTTGCCAAATTTAGGCACAGGTAAACTGGCAATAGGTCACACCTCTGAAATAAGAGAGATCACAGATAATTTCTCGGCCAAGATTTTGACTTTGTCAATCTCCTTTCTAGGTCAACCGTGGTATCCTTCATTTTATTTATATTGGTGTTTTTGAGTTACTCTCCTAGGAGTATTAGTATGTTAGCAAGGGTTCTGAAAGGTCTCAAAATACACAAGGCCCAACAGAATAAAACTTAATTGGAGAACATGACAGGCAGAGAGGCGTTTGTAGGTCTGACCAGTACTTGGCAGTACTTTGATTAAGGAGGGGTCTACATATATTAGAGTGAAAGTAATTTTGGTTCTTGGACAATATAAAAATATTGTCCCATCAAATCTGATTTATTTACATCTTATGATTCTGGAGACCAGAATTAAAAATAAGTCACTGAGTGATGCGGAGTGGCAAGCATAGACTCCTGAGGCTTTTTTGAGAGGCTTTGCCTCTCAGAAGGATCTTCGCCAAGATACCATTATTTTCTCCGAGATAACCAAACATATCTGGACTGCAGAGAATGTGAAGCCATCTGATAATCTTTAGTCTCTCTAGTAAAGTAACTTCTCTAACTGCCCTCTTTGGTAATGAGCCTCGGATACTAGACAGTCAGGCGCAGGCAATCTATGTGGTACAAGGGTCTTATTGCATCCACGAGAAGCACATCCCCTGTTTCACAGAGATTATGACTGTCAAATGAACTATAGTTATTACTACTATAATCTATCTGGCAGTTTTATACAATTTCTTCTGATGGCTTTAAAAAGAAGAAAGCTGATTGTTATATATCTGTGTCTGCTGACACAGGAATGCTATTTGCTGCTATGAAACAGAATACACCAAACATTTGTAGCGATTTATTCAAAAGAAAGTTTTTCATTTGCTTAATTTTGAACATCCTGATGCTTAATTTTGAACATCCTGATTTAATTTGAACTTTAAGAAATTCTCCAGAGTGTTCAATTTATTAACCATAAAATACTTCCAAGTGATGAGTGTTATGGAAGAATTTCTTATAGCAAGAGGACGAGACAATCCTTCCAGCATGAAAAGAAAAGTTCTGCATGCAATGGCTGCAATGTTGATAGTTTCTAAACGCTGTTGATGGGAGTCAGAAATGGCATTGTCTTTAAACTTTGTTCCATGCACGTTGTAAATCCCCTTTGTAGTTATGTAGCTGCTATTTTAAATGGGTCCCTTGGTCCTTAAAGCTTACTGGTTTTCCACGCTGAAACCACATACGGAGTGATGCAGAGGTCTCTCGGGAGCCATATACCATGACCCTCATATTCAATCCTTATAGCAAGGTTATTTCAAGTACCTGCGTCTGCCAGTAATGATATTGTCAATAAATATTTTCCTCTTTACTAAGGAAACTTCTTGTGAACCAGGAGTCAGAAAGTGACTTCAAGATCATGAAGTCCAATCTTCTAATGAACACAATAATTCTCTATATATTTATATCTATAGCTATCTACCTATCTATATTTATATATATATGCCTTATGGTTAATTAATTCCAGTGGTCCTATGGTTAATATATTCTAATGATAGATTACAAACCATCTCAATACAATGGTTTCTAGTATTTTTAGCTGGATATCAAAATGCTATTTTGAGCATTTTAGAAATATTGTTAGAGATGCTATAACAAGCAAACTTATTTATATACATACTATTAACTGAGTTATTTTCCTTGGTGAGAAAGTAACAAGGATGCTAATCCAGTTTAGAGGCGAGACAATAATCAATACATTTTTATTAGAGAAAACTGGGAGACAGTGGTGATTCAGTGTTAGAATTCTTACCTTCTGTGCAAAAGAACCAAGTTTGATTTCTCGCTAATGTATTTTATGCACCACCACCCGCAATATGTCAGCAGTTTCTAGACTAAAAGAGACTAGAAATAAAAGCCTGGTGATTTACTGCAAAAAGTCACCAAGAAAATCTTCTGGGTGAATCACAGCAATCTGCCACCACTGTCCTTCGTGAGGCAGGATCTGACTCTGAAGCAGTTAACAGCAGAGCCAATCAGCATATTATTCCCTAAAGTTTGCTTTCAAACCCATTATGCATGTGGTAAAATGAGGGCTTTGTGCCATTAGGATGTGTTTTAACCAAACAATTGCAGGCTTGCTCTTAACTAGGTTGCCATTCCTGCTAGAACAAACTACTCACATTTAGTGGCTGACCCAAAGCAGATTAGTTGTTGGTAGGTGCAAATGAGTTGGTTCCGACTCATGGCACGCCTTTGCACAGTAGAATGAAACATGGTCCAGTCAAATGCCATCCTCAAAACCATTATTATGCTTGAACCTATTGTTGCCAACACTGTCAGTCATCTCATTGAGGAGCTTCCTCTTTTTCATTGACCCTGTATTTTGCCAAACACGATATCCTTCTTCAGGGACTGGTTGCTCCGAGAAAAATGTCAAAGTTACATGAAATGAAATTGTACCATCCTTGTTTCTAAGCATCACTCTGGCTGAATCCACTTTGGAAGAATCCAAGAGAGACTTGTTCATGCTTCCGACAGTTCTTGGTATTTTCAATGTTGTTCACAGACACCTTCATTCAAAGACATCGGTACCCTTTCAGTCTTCTTACCGCATTGTCCAGCTCTCACATGCACACAGTACAACACCATGAAAGTCCCAGGGCTTCAGTAATACTTACTTTAGTGCTCAAAGTAAGGCGCCAGCGTTTTGGCACTATAAACAGGTCTTTTTCTGTACATTTTCCCTATGCAATGCTGCATTTGTTTTCTTGACTGTTCCTACCATGGCCATTGCTTGTAAAATAAAATCCTTGACAACTCCAAACTTTTCTCCATTTCTCATGATGTTACGTAATGGGAAAGTTGGGAGAATTTTTGTTTTCTTTATGTTGAGGTGCAATCCATTCTGAAATCTCTAGTCATTGATCTTCATTATTAGTAAGTGCTTCAAGTCTTCTTCATTTCCAGCAGGACAACGTGTGTCCTTTGTATCTTGCAAGTTGTTAATGAATCTTTCTGTAATCATGAGGCCGTGCCCTTGGATAATTTTCTCAGCACACTGTTTATAAGTATGGTGAAGGGACACAGCCCTCACACGCAACTTTCTTCATTTTAAACCACAGAGTAGCCCTTGTTCTGTTCGCGGAACTACCTTGTGGTCTATGTACACATTCACATGAGCAAAATTAAGTGTTTTGGAATTCCCATTCTTTGTAACTTTATCTATAATTTGTTATAGGTCCACACAATTGAATACTTGGCCAAAGTTAATGTGAAATCTTCCTGATATTCTCTGCTTTCATCCAAGACCTATCTGATACCAGCACTTTATGTCTTCTTGTGAATTCACGCTGGATTTCTGACAATTCTCTGTTCATGTATCACTACAACGCCTTAAAAATTATCTTCAATGAATCTCTTCTGCTGTGTGATATTTGTGATAATTTCCAATAAAGTTCCACATTTGGTTGCGTAACTTTTCTTAGGGATGGGTGCAAATATGCATCTCTTCACAGATGAGCGAGTACTTCCCGTGTTGCATCGCCATCTGCTTGTTGAAGCATCTCAATGGACATTTCATCCATCCCCGGAGCTGTGTTTTTTCCAGTACTTCAGTGCAACTTAGACTTCTTTGCACCCATTTACGATGTTATAATCAAACATATTTTGTGCATTTCACAGCTTTGACACATTCATTATCTTACAATTCTGGAGGTCAGGTGTACAAAATGGTTTTCACTGGGCTAAAAAAAAAAGGTGCTCGTAGGTCTCTGTTCTTCTTGTTGGTTCAGGGAAAATGTTATGTCCTGAACTTTTCCAGCTCCCAGCGACTGTCTGTCAACCTCAGCTCTTGGCCTTCTCTTCCCTTTTAACCAGTAACGGACAGTGGAGCCCTTGTCACCTGAAGCCAGCCCAACACTTACGCTTTTGCCTCCTCCTTCCACACTTCTAGACTTTCATGATTACATTCGACCTCGGTGATGCAGGAGAATCACTTTCCTTTATGATCAGCTGACTAACAACATTAATTTCACCTGCTGCTTTAATTCTCCTTTCCCAGAAATACAATGTATAATAGGTTTCAGGGATTAGGAGATAGAGAATTGGAGGAGGCCATTATTTTCCCTAGCACAGATATCAGATTTAAACTTGAACTGAATTTCTGACAACCTGAGGTCATCAGTTAATTGCTCAGCCCAGTATCAGAATCTCACAGGAGACGTTCCACCCTGTCCTATAGCGTCTCTGTGAGTTGGCATGGACTGGAGAGCAGTGGGTGAATGAGCGATACTGTACACCAATGCATTTTTATGCATCCAGTTTATATAGGCTCTGTAGTATATATAGACTCTCACTATGTTATATACATTAATTTATATAAGACCTTATATAGACTCTATATAGAGTAGACATCTGTGAGTTGATTATCTTTATATATTTCTTTCTCTTGAACCTTAAATTTAATCTCATTACAGAGTACTAAGTTTAAAAATTGAAAATTTACTTTTAATAGGAAGACTCAGTGTGGTTAAACTTATAAATGGTATAGCAATTTTTTAAGGATGTTTTATAAACAAAGCAAGATCATTTCAGAATTGAAATGCGGGAATTGAAACTTCCTTAGAGAATTTAGGAATGATTCTGTAGCATTATTTTGTAAATAAGAGGACTAATTACATTGGAAATATAAGATTTATTTACTTACAGACTG